TCTTCTATTTGTTCTTCAAATTCTTGCATTCTTTCCTTATCGAATTCTTCTGATTCAGGGTTCATCCATTCTTCTATTTTTATTCCCCAGTTTTTTCCTAATCCATTAATTTCTTCATTAATTTCGTCCTCTTTTTCAAGGAGTTCTTCTATAAATTCTTCTAATTCTTCTTGAGTTTTCATATTTGAAATTTCTCTTAGTTCTGCAAAGTTTCTTACTACTATATTTGTCTTTTTCAAGATATATTGTAAAAATCTATTTATATAGTCTTCTAATACTTGATCTGGTATTGCAATTTTTTCTATCATATTTAATGTATTATCCACTACGTAATTGGCTAATACTTCTTTTAATTTTGTGCCAATAAATTTCTTTGCTGTTACTATCAGGTATTTTCTTATTGCATATGACATTTTCTTCATGATTCCTTGTGATATATTAAATTTTCTATCTACTTGTTCTAAAAGATATCCTGATATGCTTCTATTTTTAATTGTTCACATTCTTTTTGTAATTCTTCCATTTTTTCTTCTAATTCATTATAACTCTTTCTGTTGAAATATCTTGTTTCTTTTGTTCTAGAACTAAATTCTCCTGATTGTCTATTTAATTGTGAGAACATTATTACTGCATACGCTTGTACTGAGTTATTATTTCCTTGTAAAGGTGGATTTTCTCCTGCTATTTCTTTTGTAGTTATCCATCTTCTGCATTCTTTTTCTATCCAAAGTGGTATTCTATTTAAATAATGATCTATTGCATTTTCTCTTAGCATTGTATTTGATCCTGATTCTCTCATCATATTATTATAATGAATATTGAATTCTGTCATACTACTTCTATATTTAGATTTTTCCATGTTTAGTCTCATAAAGTCTGCGTATTTTTCTTGTCTATATGTTCTTCCTAAGAATTTTTCTATAATCCATTGTTTCATTCCGATTGGTGCTGCTGCTCCTTCAAATTGATGTTCAAGCCATGTTCTAGGTTTTTCTGTTATTCCTAATGCTTCCCATGCTATTTTTGCTTCTCCTCTAAATTTCGTTGCTATTTGTTCTATAATTTGTTTTGATCTTTGACAATCATTTATTGGTCCATTACGTGCAGCATTTAATCTTCCTGTTTGTCCTGCCATTCTTGAAAAGTTTGCTCCAGCATTTGTTAGTATTGCATTTATTCTTATTGCTCCATCTAACATTCTATTTACTTGTATATTTGATAAATCTGTATTCTGTCCTGGTCGGTTTGCTAATCTTGTTGCTGTCCATGCTATTCCTGGTGCTTCTTCATCTGCTAATGCATTTCCACCTAAAGGTGTTCCATCTGCTTTCGTATCTGGTTCATTTCCTTTTGGTAATTGAGGGTATGCCTCAAGTATTTGTTCTATTATTCTTATCCATCCATCTGTTTCACTTTGTCTTCCTGTATATTCTTTTATTTCTTTTAAGTCTATTATTGGATTATTCCAATTGTCTATATCTCTTTGAATGTAATTCTCATTTTGTACTTTATTATAAATTGCAGCCATTTCTTATGATTCGATAATATTTTTTATTCTATATTTTAAAATATTCTTGTAAACTTTTCAGTTGTTCTTCTAGAGCTTTATTCTGTTCTTTAGTTTCTTTTAATTCTTTAATTAAATATTTCTTTTTGTCTTTTTCTTTCTTTAATTCGAACGAAGTTTGTTTCAAATTCTCTTTTAATTCTTCTAGTTCTTTTAATAATTTTATAAATTCTCGTTTTTCTTTAAGTGTTTTGTAAGGTTCGATTTGTTTAATTTCTTTACTTTTTGTTTTCATATGTTCTTACTCTTTTTGAGTGAAGATTCCTACTTTATTTCGTCATTCTTTTTATAGTTAATTTAAATTGTTCTTTTTCCTTCTTTTTCGATTAGTAATATTTTTGTTCTATTTTATTCTATTTTATTAGTCATTTCTGTGGAGAATTTTCTTATTCTGAGTAAATTTTGTAATTCTTTGTTATCCTTATTTGCTCTAAGATATCCTGTATGAAGTTTTCTTTTTCTTTTTCAATGAATTCATGAGTTATTCTTTTCATCTCATAATATAATCTTGTTGACATTTCTATTATCTTTATCAATATTAATATTCCTAATTCTTTATAATTTTCTGTTATTATCATCCCGATTATTAATCCTATTAGTAATATATTCCATAACCTTCTAAATATTCCCATTTTTATTTGTTATATTTATTCTTAAAATTTTTCGTGTCTCTATTTATATATTTTTTGATTGTTGATCATTTCTATTTTTTATTCGATTTTTTATCCAATAATACGTTGCATGCAAGTTACTATGTTTTTGCATGTCGGAATTCTTTCTAGGGTATAAATTTTGCATGTCGTTTCTTTTCTAGGTTTTTTATTTTGATCCTAAATTTCTATTGGTTAAATTTTTTATATTTTTTCCTTATTATTTTTTCTTATCGTTTTTCATTTTTTATTGATAAATTTCTTATTGAATAATCTTTTGTTTTCTTTATTCTAATATTGAATTATCTCATTTTGTTATAAATTGTTATTTTAATTTTTCGATTATTAATCCTTCTATTAATTTCTTTTTGATTATTAATTATTTTCTATAACATTCCATATTATTATTAAGCATTCTTTCCATGAGATTCTTTTTAATAATTCCTTTTTTAATTCATATTATTTAATTTTTCATAGATTCTTCGATATATTTCTAATTCTTTCTTCTCTCTTTTAGCAGCATTTGGGTTATTTCTTATTCTTTCATCGTAGAGCTTTGAATATTCTTCTATTTCTTCTTCTAATTTTTGTATTCTTCTTCTTATGGTTTTTAATTCTTGTTTCTTTTCTTTTTCTTCAAGATTTAAAATAGGTTTTGGCATTTTCTTTGTTTTTTCAAATTAATGATGTATTTTAATTTTTGTTCATCTGTTTTCTTTTATATTTTTTATTTCTTTGATTTGTAATTCTTATTTTTCGCTTAATAATTCTTTATTTCTTGATTTCTAATAAATTTCTTTTTGATTTATAATCGTAATTTTTCTAAAGTGTTCTAAATAATTTCTTTTGAATTGGTTGTCTTAGTTTAATCGTTGGGATCCAGTCCTTTCCAACGGGTTTTGCAAGTTCTTCCTTCTTGGATGGCATCTCTTCCTGTTCACGTCTCCTC